GACTCCCTGGTGGTCCAGTGGTGGCACTCAGATTCCCTGGTAGTCCAGTAGTGGCACTCAGACTCCCTGGTGGTCCAGTGGTCTCTCCGGTCTGCAGCTCCGCCGGATGCAGAGCTGCAGACCACATGAGGATTGTCTCGCGATCTCCATTCAGAGCGTTGCTGTGGTAACCCACGGCAACGCTCTGATTGGCTGGAGAGCGCGAGACACCTCAGTCTGCAGCTCACACCCGGCGGAGCTGCAGACTGAGGCAGGTGTTCTATCAGATTAGTATACCAATCTGACAAGGTATACTAATCTGATAGAACACCGGCTCTCTCTCCGGGCGGGCTGACAGGAGGGGCCTCGCACCCGGCGGCACAAAGGGCAAGCCGCCGGGCCCCCTCCTGTGTCGGGTCCTCGGTCATAGACCGAGGACCCGACATGTCAGTCTGCCCTCAGGCGATTTAGGCGGCCGCGAGGCCCCTGACTGCGCGAGGCCTTAGGCGGCCACCTAAATCGCCTAATTAGAGAGCCGCCTCTGGTTATTGTTACGGTATGCCTCAGGCTAGCTGAGGGTTGAACCGATTTGATGTCCTTGTCCCCGATCCTGGAGAGCGGTAGAGAGTTCCAATTCCACATCTAGCGATATTCTTGTAAGTGTAGAGTATTCAGGTAGTTCTTAACAATCAGCATTTCCCTACAACACGAGTCGAGGCTGCGAGTTGAGGGTAAGAAGTCTGGTTTATTGAATGGCACAGCATCGCTTAAATACACATTTTCAGGCCAGAGGCTCACCCCTCTGGATCTGATGGTACACAGGGTGACAAGCGACAACAACCAATGGGAACAAAGTGCATCTTTTTAAACCCTCCCCTCTATCCTGGAGATAATTGGTTTCAACGGTTACAATAACTTAATTATCTCCAGGTACAGGCAATATTCTAGTTTTTACAGATACATGAAAACTACACAGTGGCGTACTAAGGGGGAGGCGGGGGGGGCGGTCCGCCCCGGGTGCCAGCCGGGTGGGGGGTGCCATGGCCAGCCCCGCCGCCCCCCCCCCATGCTGTAGCCGCCCGAGCGCTCTGTAAAGAGCCTCAGGCGGCTGCAGCTTTGCCCGGGCGGTGCGTCCATGAGGGCGGACCGCACCGCCCGGGCGCAGCATGGGGAGAGGGGCTGACAGGAGGAAGCGCTGAGCGCTCCCTCCTGTCAGCTTCCTTTGCTGTAGCGTGGCCGAGCCCTGCCTCATGATGGTCCGACGGGTACAGGAAACAGCTGCTCTCTGTACCCGCGGACTATACTGGGCTCGGCCACGCTACAGCAAATGTAGGGGGGGGGTGAGAAAGAGGAGAAAGGGGGGGTGAGAGAGAAAGAAGGGGTGAGAAAGAGAGGCGGTGAGGAAAAGGAGGGGGGGTGAAAGAGGAGAAAGGGGTGAGGAAAAGGAGGGGGGGGTGAAAGAGGAGAAAGGGGGTGAAAAAGGAGGGGGGTGAAAAGAGGAGAGAGGGGGTGAAAGAGGAGAAAGGGGGTGAAGAGGAGAAAGGGGGGTGAAAGAGGAGAGAGGGGGGTGAAAAGGAAAGGGGGGTGAGAGAGGGGGGTGAAAGAGAAAGGGGGTGAAAAGAGGAGAGGGGGGGGTGAAAAAGGAGAGGGTGAAAGAGGAGAAAGGGGGTGAAAAGAGAGAGAGGGGGGGTGAAAGGAGAAAGGGGGTGAGAGAGGGGGTGAGAAAGAGGAGAAAGGGGGGTGAGAAAGGAGGGAGGGTGAGAAAGGGGGGGTGAGAAAGGAAGTGAGAAAGGAGGGGGGGAGAGAAAGAGAAAGGAGAGGGGGAGAGAAAGAGAAAGGAGAGGGGGTGAGAAAGGAGAGGGGTGAGAAAGGAGAGGGGGTGAGGAGAAATTAGGAGGGGAAGAGAAATTAGAGGGAGGGAGAGATATTAGGGAGGAGGGAGAGATAGAGGGGAAATAGAAATTAGGGGGGGAGAGAAATTGAAATTAGGAGGGGGGGGAGAGAAATTGAAATTAGGAGGGGGGAAGAGATATTAGGAGGGGGGAAAGAGAAATTAGGAGGGGGGGTGAGAAAGAGAAATTGGGAGGAGGAGAAGGAAATTGGAGCGGGAGGAGAGATTGACATTCATCACATACACACAATGCACCCCTTGCACACAGAAAAACACACAATGCATTACACACACACATACACAAGCAATGCAACCGTTACACACAATGCATCCCTTACACACACAGAAACACACAATGCATTCATTACACACACTCAATGCACCCTTTACACACATTCTATGCATCCCATACATACACAGAAACACACCTTGCAGCCCTTACACATACAAACACAATTTCACACAATGCATTCCTCACACACATATCAGGACATCCCCTACACACTCCACCCCCTGTGAACAAACTCATTGGTGGAACATGAAGGTGGACCCTGGGACCCAGACCTTGAGCTGTGTAAAGGACCCCAAAAAAATGGAGCTGCTTCCCGTTCTCCCAGAACATTGATTTTTGTGACCACAGTTACAAACCGCCTCCAGAGAGCCTGTTCTTCACCAGACCAGTGGAGCCAGACTGCAGCTAGAGCCCATCATCATCCTCATCTGGTTGTAAGTAGGCAATCTAGTATATTATTCGTGGCACTAAGCTCTAATTTACCTCACATTAAAGAAACATTATAGTCCCCAGAACCACTTCAGCTTAATGTAGTGGTTCTGGTGTCTATAGCCTGTCCCTGCAGGCCTTTTAATGTAAACACGGCAGCACTGCAGCACTGGCGTTGGTTAACATGGCAAATCATATGGGTGGGGCATTGTGATGTCACATGGGGGAGGGGCGGCAAACTTTACTTTTGCCTAGGGCGGCAAAAATCCTTGCACCGGCCCTGGCTGGAGGGGGCTGTGTGAGCTGTGGCCGCACAGTGTCCCATGGTAGTTAGAGTGCCGTGCGGCCAGTACAGCTCACACAAGCAAACAGCTTATAAACTGGCCGCACGGAGGAAATGTGTATGTGTGACTGTCTGCCTGTAACTGAGTGTGTGACTGTCTGCCTGTAAATGTGTGTGTGGGACTGCAGGGATTTTGTAGAAGGGGCGGGGGTTTTGTATTGGGACAGGAGTCTTTATAAGGGGGATAAGCAGGGGATTTGTGGAAGGGGGTTGCGGGGGTTTTGTAGACGGGGCAGTACAGGATTTGTAGAAGGGGCAGGACAGAGGTTTTGTAGGAGGGGCGGGGCAGGACAAGGGTTTTGTAGGAGGGGCTGACAGTGGTTTTGCAAAGTTTACAAATTGTAAAAAAAAAGAAAGAAAACCTTTAACATTTTTTACAGGTTTTTTTTTTTTTTTTTTGGGTGGGGGGGGGGGTGCCAAGCACAGGATCCGCCCCGGGTGCCAAATGCTCTAGGTACGCCCCTGAAACTACATAAAAATCTATAACTCACACATCATATTCTTCATATTCTTTAGCTTGTATATTCAACAAATCCACAGACAGCTTGGATCTGAGTGCACAAAATATCCGAAAGGAGCTCAGATTTCACGAATGGAGTGGAAACGCCATGGGGATAAAAATTATCTCTCGTGCTGTTCGGCAACTATCAGCCCAGACATCCTCTTCCATAGTATCCTACATGGGGTCGGTATAACTTGCATAGTCCCAAAGTACCGAACGGCATGGTGTTCGGTGTGTTATGCACGAATGGGCAGGGCACGGGGCATCCCAGTAGGGTTCGTATAAACTAGTGTCCGGAAATAGTACCAGGCGGTTAACGACCAGGTCCCGCTGGGTGTTCAGCAGTTAAAGATGGCCGCCACCACATGTTCGTGCATACGAACAATGACCACCCCGTCGACGGCCAATTAGGGCACACTCCTCAGGTAGGCTGGTCGGTCATTCAATAGTTTGTTCAGTATTTAGTTTGACACTTTCATACGAACGATGACCACCCCGTCAATTGCCAATTAGGCTGCGGTTAACCACAAAACCGCGACTCCTGGGTGGTTAATCAGGGACACACTCCTCAGGTAGGGTGGTTGGTCGTTTGATAGTTTGTTCGGTATTGTAGAGGTTAACAAGGTTAATTGGCGGCACACGCCAAGACCGGGTGGTCGGTCATTCGTACATACGAATAAACTGGGGAAGATTTTTCGTGGGTTTTAACAACAAAGTACCAAACAAAGTAGCACAAGGTAGCAGGCAGAGGGGACTTTGTAACAGTTATAAATTAAAATCTCCTATTACTTGCCAATCGAAAAATGTTATATATTTATTAAATTGTAATTCTGGCTACCAGTATGTAGGTAAAACATCTAGAACTTTAAGTGTTAGAATTAGTAAACACATAAGAAATATCCAAAACGGTTTTATTAATCATAGTGCATCAAAACACTTCCTGGAAAAACATAGGTCAAAACCAAAAGATCTAGAGTTTAAAGCTATAATATGGTAATATTGCTGAGAAACTCAGTAGACAAGAAGTTAAATGGATTTTTGAATTTCAGACCTTAAATCCAAGGCCTGAATATAGATTTTGAAATTAATTTGATTTTAAAGAGAAATTTTGTATGTATTTAGATTTTTTTAGTATATACACCCTGTTCCAAATTATTATGCAAATAATATTTTTATCATTTATCTAAATAAATGGTGTAAATAACAGTCAGCATAATTCTCATGTTATCAACTATTAAGAGTACAATTCAAATTTTATTGAACAAACCTCCTAATGATAACAGTATTTTTTTTAAACAAAAAACTTGCAGTGCACTGTTCCAAATTATTACGCACAGTACGTTATAGGTTGTAAAAAACTGAAAATAGTCATTTGTTTTGTTTGCAGCATATTTACTGAAATCAAATGCTATTTTAATCAAACTTATACCAACATTATAACTTTTTAAACATTTTAACATGTCACGTTACATTTTAACATAGGACCCCTTATTTGATAGCAGCTTTACAAGTCTTGCATCCATTGAACTTGTGAGTTTTTTCGACAGTTTCTGCTTGAATTTGTTTGCAAGATGTCAGAATAGCCTCCCAGAGCTGCTGTTTGGATGTGAACTGCTTCCCACCCTCATAGATCTTTTGCTTGAGGATGCTCCAAAGGTTCTCAATAGGATTGAGGTCAGGGGAGGATGGAGGCCACACCATGACTTTCTCTCCATTTATCCTCATAGCAGCCATTGATGCAGAGGTATTCTTTGCAGCATGAGATGGTGCATTGTCATGCATGAAGATGATTTTATTACGGAAAACATAGTTCTTCCTTCTGTACCAGGAAAGAAAGTGGTCAGTCAGAAACTCCACATACTTTGAAGAGGTCATCTTTACACCTAACATGATCTCTTCCCATGATTCCAGCCCCAAAACATGACTCCACCACCGCCTTGCTGACATCGCAGCCTTGTTGGAACAGGGTGGCCGTCCACCAACAATCCACTACTCCATCCATCTGGATCATCCAGGGTTGCACGGCACTCATCAGTGAACAGGACTGTTTGAAAATTAGTCTTCATGTATTTTTCTGTCCAATGCAGCCGTTTCTGCCTGTGAGCATTGATTAGTGGTGGCTGAATAGAAGGTTTGTGCACAGTTGCAAGACTCTGGAGGACTCTACACCTTGATGTCTGTGGGACTCCAGAGGCACCAGCAGCTTCAAATATCTGTTTGCTGCTATATAATGGTATTTCAGCAGCTGATCTCTTGATCCGATGCATGGATCTGGCAACTCCTCCTGAGGAAGGGGTTAAATCACTTACCTTTCTCCAGCGCCGGGCTCCCTCGGCGCTGGGGATTCTCCTCCCTCTTCTGATGTCACCGGCTGAATGTGCATGCGCAGCAAGAGCCGCGCAAGCAGTCAGTCAGTCCATAGGAAAACATTCTCAATGCTTTCCTATGGATGCTGCCGTCTTCACACTGTGAAAATCACAGTGAGAAGCGCGGAAGCGCCTCTAGCGGCTGTCAATGAGATAGCCACTAGAGGCTGGATTAACCCATATGTAAACATAGCAGTTTCTCTGAAACTTCTATATTTACAGTAGGCAGGGTTAATCCTAGATGGACCTGGCACCCAGACCATTTCATTAAGCTGAAGTGGTCTGGGTGCCTATAGTGGTCCTTTAAGTTTTCGTGAAAGATCTAATGTTTTCATACCTCGTCCAAGGCATTAAACTATTTCACTCTTTTCGGCAGCAGAGAGATCCTTTTTCTTCCCCATATTGCATGAAAATGGTGCTCTGCTTAATAATGTGGAACACCCTCCTTTAGTAGTTTTTCCTTAAATTGGGCTCACCTGGCAACCTAATTATCACAGGCATCCAAGATTGTTTTCAGTGATCAAAAGAGCCCTGAGACACAATGACATCCATGAGTTAAACTGAAAAACAACATATTTAATCTTTGTGACACTTAAATAGAATTTGCATAATAATTTGGAACAGGGTGTATTTGTATTTAATATATTCATATGCTTTTAAGGCTATTTTCCCACCCCTCCTACTTCTTACCATTTAAAAAAAATTATTGTTGGTGCTTTATTTTATTATTGTGATGTATTTTTTATTTTAACAAATATGAGTTAACTTTCTTTTTAAATTAATAATACTGTTTCTTTTACCTTTTCCTTAACAACTATACTCATTTATTCCCTCTGCCCATACCTAATTTGGTGGATTATGTAGATTTATGGACGTATACACTCTTTATGCAATCTGGCCGCAAATCCGGCGGAAGTGACATTATTGGGAACATGATCATCCACCATGTTTGTAGTTTTTGTGCTGGACGCGCTTGGTCAGTGATGCGCGCGTCACAGCAAATTGAGAGAAGTGGCAATCAGAACCGGAGGATATTACAGACCGCCTACCATGATGTTGATGGACATGGTGACCTGCCAATTTTATCATGCCACGTTATTGCGTCCAACGTGTGTCCATCTTGGAGGTCACAGCCGGAACTTGCTTTAGCCGGAACTTGCTTTATGTCCGAAAACCGATGTGTCGCCATCTTAGTGATGGTGACATACATCCTGTTGGGACCATATTTGGACATTAGAAGTCATTATTAAAAGTGTAAACATACAGATACACATGAAATAATTACTTCTAATGTCCAAATATGGACCGATCCAGATGTATAAACCAAAAAATGAAAGTGTAGGTACACTAAAAACTGGTATGGGGGTTATAGTTAATGAAGACCAGGAAAAGGCAGGAATTTTAAATAACTATTTCTCCTCCATATATATTGTGGAAGAACCCATGGCAATAGATGTGCAAATGATTGCTGCTAAAAACTTGCAGAATAATTGTATTTGGTTAACTCAAGACAAGGTGATGC